TAGGGTTTAGGGTTCAGGGTGGTGGCCTTGACGTTAAGGGTTTAGGGTGCTGGGTTTGAGCTTTAGCTATCTAATGTTGACATTTACATCGTCTCAATGGCACCTGGAGTGAAATCTAATATGAATGTGCGAAGAATGTGAGGAGTTAGCTAACTTCAAACAATCTGATGATGAGCTACAGCCAATATTCCTTCATGCACTTCATGAGTATGGGTCTCCCTATTAGAGAATGGTTAAGGGACTATACTAAATTGCCTACACCCTAAGCCCTAAATCCTCAAGCCTCGCTAAGCCCTAAGCTTGCCCCAGCCCAGGCACGTCATCAGCAGGACGTTGCGTGGCGGCCGTCCCCAGCGAAAGCGCCCCTGGTTGACGGTCGTCTTTGAAGCGAATGAATACTGGATTTAGGCTCCTGCATTAGTTTACTAACTTTTAATGCAGGAGCCTCAATCCTAGACGAAGGGTTAAGCATATACTGTACTGCGCTTGAACTCACGGAATGAGGGGAGATTCTTCCTAGCTTCCTTTGATCTAATTACAGTATTCCAGACTGGGACCACAAGGATCGTACAGGAGGCCCTCCACGCTCAAGTATCACCGCGGTTTAGGATTTAGGGCTTAGCGTCCTGAAGCCCAAACCATGAAACCTCAACTGAAAAGCCCTTGTCCCAATCCTACCGGACAAGCGATGATACCTGAACAAGGTATGCAATACTCTTAATGTCAGTAACAAGTACATGCCACATGAATATCTGATAACTTCCACGGCAATCCGGAATCACACCCTACACCCTAAACCCTAGGCCCCTAAACCCTAAACCCTGAACCCTATGTAGCCCCATCATGATAGTTTTCATGTTCTTTTCCATTATCCCCAAATAACCCCTACCTAGCCCCATTATAATAGTTTGCATTTTCTTTTCCATTATCCCTATATAAACCCTATAACCCTAGGCCCCTAAACCCTTCACCATGCCTCCTTCGAAGTTTCGGCTGCATTCCGTCGAACTTCGTCCAGACCCTCTCCAGCACCTGAGCTTCCTCTGGATCATAGAGGGTTTTATCTAAGGTTAAGACCATGGGCCCCTAGTACGGGCCCTTACCTCAGGGATCCTTATATAGCTACCATATACCCTATATGTACCCTTGATGGTCCCTAGAATCTCCCTATGGGAGACCTTAGAGTTTAGCGTTTAGGGTGTAGGGGTTGAAGCTTTCAGGGCTTAGAAGTACCCACCTGCCCCCCTTGAAGTTGTAGCAGTTTGGGGGGTTTGGGGTTGGGATTCGGGGTGTAGGGTTTAGGGCTTAGGGCTTCCAAAAATGCAGGTGCATACACATGACTAGATATACGTAGCTTTTTTTTTAATTTTCTATACATATGGATATGCATATGCATATATGTGGATATGTACACGCATATAAACACATGTATATATGGCATGTTTGGGGACCTTCTTAAGGATAGCATTGCTTGGGGAAAGTCCCGCAGAAAACTGGCAGGCATTCAAATGGGGTCACAGAAATGGCAGTGGTAAAGTTCTCTCTGGCATTTCTTTTGCTGGCTTAGGATTTAGGGTTTAGAAGGTTTAGATTAGGCTACAGAATGGCGAGAAAAGGAGCGGATCCCTACAATAACCCTGTATACTCTCCCGGAAGCGTATCCAAATTCACTGCCCACGTATCCTTAAACAAGCAAGGTTTAAAATTGAGTTTGCCATTTCGGGCTCAAGCTCTGGAATTCGGGGAGATTTGTCATAGTTGGGATTACACTATCAAATACGTGAATGTCTAAGCCCAGTAAAGATTGTAAAATGTCAAGGAGAACAATCAGATGTACGACACAGGCATGTTGCTTTCACGTCATAACGCGCGAAAGCTTCAAGCTGAAAGCCCTCAACCCGTAACTGAAGTGTCCTACATATAATGGTTTCCATTTTCTTTTCCATTATCCCTATATAACCCCAATATATACCCTATAATCCTTTTATAACCCCTGCAGGGCTGCTTGCGTACCCAAAACCTGAAGCCTGACAGAACCCACGTGGAGCAAGTGCCGGTGATCCCGACACGCCTGTGGGCAATGCCGGCGCGGGAAGTGCCAACAACATTTCTATGTGAATGTCTCCATAATATTATACGAATTTCCTTGAAGGTGAGTAGTTTCCATTTTCTTTTCCATTACCCCACTATAAACCCAATGTAGAACCTGGCCAAAAAGCAGCAATTATGTCCAGTCAGGTTTTCACTGTAAAGTGGCGGCAGTTCAGCTAGAAAGGCTGCAACCAGGTTGACCCTACCGAGACTAGAGTAATCTAGACCCTGACAAAAGATGAGCGATCCATAATATTCTAGTCCCCATGAAGTAGATAGAATATGGGGTATATGGGGTTCTTATTATAATATACCCAAAGCCATATTTATCTACTTAAGGGGGACTATAGATGCAAAACCCTGATCTTTGGGTACATCCTCAACCAGAAACTCAGTCCCTGAGCGCTAAACTCACATCCACAGCCTGAATCTCCAAAGCTGTGAAGAATGTGGAGGCCTGGGGCCCCCAAAGTCCAAAGTCCTAGAGACCCAAATCTCGAACGCCCCGGCCGCCCCCCAAAACTAGCCCAAATGAATCCTAAACCCTGAAGCCTGAAACCGAAACAATTGCAGAGGCACGGTACGAGTTTTCCAGGGCACCCTCCGGGGCAGGTGTGCCCGCGGCCTCCGCCTGTTCATGTTTTGTAGTAGCAATAATAGCAAAATAACAACAAGAATGCAAAAAGTAATAGCAGTAGCAGTAGGAGCAATAACAGGAACAGCAGGAACCGGAGGTGGAGGTGGTGGCAGCGCGGGGTATTTCCACACCAGTAGCCTTTGCTGGCAGCGTTTTCCGATCCACGCTCCAAACCGGACAGCCACCGTGACTATCATGTAGTTGCTTGGGCAAGGGATTAGGGTTGAGATTGTCGTCTTAACATGTTGATGCCCAAGGTCAAACATCCCTCTTGAGTCCTAATGCTATTCTAGACGGTATAGGATGTAATCAGAACCTCAGTGCGACTTAATGTAATTGCGTAAGAAAGCAGATCAAGCAGTCTTGGAATCCGCACAAAGCAGAACACAGCCCAGGTAAGGCACACAAAAACCCAGAAACTTTTTCAAAGAGAGAGAGAGAGAGAGATCGCGCTTGCGGTTCGCAGCTCAGAGGTCCGTCTGGCATCACTTTATGCAAGCAAGGCTAATATGACCTGCTGAAACTCAAATACATAGAAATGCCCCTGCCCACTATACGGAGGGTCGGAGTCAGAATGGTAAAGGTAATTTCCCAAAATAGGGGCACCCCCTAATATTCTTTTCATCCTTATTAAACGGACCCCCAAAAAGGTACCCCGAATGTTGGGAAACCCTTGTCCAGAAACCCTATATAACTCAATATAGCCTATATAATCCCCACATCCCCTTTAAAGGGACCCCTACTTTTGGGAAACCCTAAACCCTAAACCAAAATCTTATGGTAGGGGCCCCCAGGGCGATGCCTCAAAAATCCAGCTTACAAAATGCAAACACATGCCGCCAAAACCCTGAACCTGCACCATAGACTTAGTGACTTTTACAGGGTTTAGCGTTTAGTGTTAGTAGGATATAACGGAATATATTATATAGGGGGTATAGGGATCATATTCTCGTATTTCCTACGAACAGCCAGTAAGTACATCCAAAATGCCCGAGGACATGGTCGTCCCAAACCAAATCATCAACTCGAGCAACCTAGGCTCTGTTACTTTCAGTAAAAAATATAAAGTATTGGCGATTAGACTTTATTTAATAATTTGATAATACCTTTACTAGACATAAACTAAAGGTAGCATTCGAAAGAAATAGTATTAAAAAGTGGCTTACAAATAGTTATTAAAACTGGAAGACCTCTAATCCATGAAGCTCGTGAAGCCTGCCCAAACGGTCTCCAATCACATCTGCCAGTGTCACAAAAAAGGCCACTGATGTGTAAACTTCCAACCTGGAGCACTAATCCCTAAGCCCTAATTCCCGAAGCCTGGTCCTAAAGACATTAACCCAAACCCTCCAACAGATTTGAATAGCATTTTTTCGGAAGAAGGCCTAATATCTCTCTGTCGCTACTTCGCTTTCAGCCTGAAAACCCTCCTTCTAGGGACCACCGAACTAGTCCCTGGTTCTTCGACACTCTAAACTGGCACCTTGCCGCGAACTTCGCAAAGGAGCCTGTCCTCTTTGGAGACATGGGCCTAAGGTTATGCTTCGGCAGTCAGGATTCAGGGTTATGTGTTGAGCATTTAGGCTTAAGGGTAGGGATGTCAAGGAACTGGGGTGTACAGCGGAAAATCGTAGAAGTTTCAGTGCTTAGGCAGCCTTATAGAAGCTGTCGCGGGCTCATGGGAAACTTATGAGGATGAGACAGGGTTTTTGCACCGTGCACGGCTCAGTAGAGAGGTGCCAGGGCTGAAACCAATCTACCCAAAAACTTCAAAAGGGGGTAGCATGTCTGGAAACAAGGAGGCTTGGTGTGTAGGTCTGAAAACAAGCACACGCTTCTACTGCGGCGTCGATGACACATACAAAACGTACCGCGACTTCTCAGACCATGACAGGGATAGTCGAAGGGACCCGAGGGACACGTGGAAATGGTAAGGAAATGTCGTTGTACCCTTGGGAATACTGAACGGGCCGGGAAACTCCCGCCATGATGAGCTAAGGGTTTAGGGTTTAGGGTTTAGGGTTTAGGGGATGAGGGGTTTAGGGTTTAGGGCCAACAAACACCATCCATGCTTCGCAGCAGGCCCCCGTCGAATGAAGGTCCAAGACCTTGAAAGTCTGGAACCCTCAAGCCCTAATGACCTGAAGACTAGACCCTACACCGTGAACCCAAAAACCTGAACCCACCCCCCAGAAGCCATAAACCAAGCTATAAGCCCCAGTGGAAGGTGATGGTCCTTTTACGGAACCCTTATCTCATAAAATCCGATAATTTGAGGTATCCAAAAAGGGAACGAAGTTTTGACAACCACAATTCAAAACCAGCACATGGCACAAAATCAGTGCCGAGAGGCGCTCTCACACCTGGTGCACAGGTCTGTTTCTGGGGTGGAGGATTTAAAGGATTCAGAGTTTAGCTTTCAGCGCCTGGTCTTCATGAAAGAACCTTGCACCACCCAGGGTCCCAGAATTTCTTGCATCTGCCGTAATGTTCAAGTTCCGGCGGGCCGAATCTCGAGCTTCTAGACTAGGGTGAGTACAGATTGCAGTCTTATAGTTTGAGCTCACAAATCAGTTGTGAAGTATTTGATGCCGGAGTACATTGGAAGAACAGACATGGAACTCCTGAAACCTAACCCATGATTACCATCAAAACTTCTGGAAATGTGAACTCTGCTGCACCCTCTTCTTTTTCAAAGGCTACAATCAGATCACCAGCACCATGGCAATCATTTCGCCTATGACAACAATGAGGAGGGCTACCAAAAGGACCATGACCACTGCAGCTATCACCGAGGTCGTGGTCATCATTACCAGAACCATCATATACTAAGCCCTAAACCCTATATAGATCCCTAGGGATTCAGATAGCCCAATGCAGGTAATATTTATAGACTTTGGGGCCCAATGTAAGTCTTATTTGTGATCATCATCAGCATTGCCAACATCATCACCACCTTCATTGACATCAGTGAGCCTTCAGAATTAAAAGAGGGTGGTGATAAACCCCAACCCCAAAATCAGGAGCCCACAACTATCATCCCGCACCTCTGAAAGCTACCATAGCTTGAAACAATAGAGTCCTGAGCTCTAACTCCTCACATCCTAAACCCTCATTCGCAAAAAGCTGGAACTCCAATCCTCTGATTCAACACGCTCAAACCCTACCCTAAACCCAACCCTCTGATTACAAAAAATCGGCCAAGGGGCAGAATATCTGCCTCGCAGAGGAGTTGGCACTCCTGACTCAAGCGATTCAGCGGTTTGGGTAACTGTTCTTAAGTGGGTGAGAAGTGGATGCATGC